TTGTGAGATGTGATTATTTAAGTGAATTTTCTTATTTTTATAATGTCACTGTAGCATGGTCATTTTCACATGGCGACAATGTATGGAAAATATCCTTATTGATAAATTATCAGTCTCTTCATGAATGCTAGTCACATAGTCACTACCTGCAAATTGGAAATGGTAGACATGAAAGATCATATAAATCTAATTAAATGTGCCAATCTTTAGAGATGTTAAACATATATGCCTACAATCATGTGTGTGTGTTTAGCTATTTATAATTGTGGAGATGTACATCATGCAAACAAACAGGAACTATTTGGCAGCTTTATGCTTCATGATCTATTCCTTGTAAATTCTTCCAATTTACCTATAACTTGAACTACCCTGCCCTTATTAAGAATTATTGTTTTTCATTTTCTCACTATTTTATTTGCAGTAATTTCAGCTCCTTCTAATGTCAAAAAGCATGAGCAAAAAGATGATAACCTCCCAGTTGACATCAAATTGCCTGTTAAGCATGTATTATCTAGAGAGCTTCAGGTATCAAAGTTATTAAGGCACTGTGAGCTTTATTGTTTCACATCTTGTAGTTCATTTATGTTAGTTTCATTGTTTCTTGCAGCTGTATTTTGACAAAGTGACTGAGCTAACTTTAAGTGAGTCTGATTCAGTTCTCTTTAAAGAAGCATTAGTAAGTTTGGCTACTGATTCAGGGCTTCATCCATTAGTTCCTTATTTCACATGCTTTATAGCTGATGAGGTAATAATATTTGTGTTTTTGTAATGTTGGTTGATAAAAATTGAAATGTTAGCTTATTCTAGCTTATTATGTGTGCTTCTCCCTTCTTGTCAGGTTTCTCGTGGTTTGAATAATTTTGCTCTTCTATTTGCCCTGATGCGAGTTGTTAACAGCCTTCTGCAAAACCCTCATATCCATATTGAACCTTATGTAAGTTCTCCTCTTGTTGATTTACTGTATTTGTTTATATTCTTACTGACATAACACAAGCTTTGCACAAGCAATGTATTACTAGTAATATTTGAATTAATGTTTGGTTGGTTCACCATTTGCTACTGTGATTTATGTTGTCTCCATTGAATCATGAAAGCATGCTGAGATATTTAAGTTGATTTGCCAATTTTTGCTTCTCCATAACGATGGCCTGAACAACTTTCAGCCTCGTAAAACTTTGAAAGAAATAAAAAATTGTACTTTTTTTGGTCATGAATTAAAAAATGTACTTATTTATCTTTCTTCTGGCCTGGCATGTAGGCTGGCCCATTAGCCTGTGAAGGTCATGTAAGTGCTGACTTTGTGTCTTCTCATACTTTGCAAAATAATAAAATATTTGTATTTTACAAAAAATGAACCATTGTCACCACGTATTGAAAAGGCTTTGTCTACTCTGGACAGTTATATTTTCTTTGTTTGCAAATTGCAAAAATCTGTTTTCACATGAACGAGTTGCTGTTAAACCAGCTCTCATTTCTTTCTCTTTCCATTTTTGCTTGCTTCAGCTACACCAGTTGATGCCATCTGTTGTGACCTGCCTTGTTGCTAAAAGGTTGGGTAGTAGGTTGGCAGACAACCATTGGGAACTTAGAGACTTCACGGCTAATCTGGTTGCTTCAATATGCAAAAGGTTTTGTCTTGCCTAGTTTGAACTTTAAAGTATTCTGTGGCTTATTTGTTGGGGTTGTTTGCATTGTGGATTTTTCTTGTTTTAAATTCTTGTTTTATTCAGGTTTGGACATGTTTATAGTAATCTACAGTCTCGGTTAACAAAAACATTGCTGAATGCGTTCTTGGATCCCAAAAAGGCACTGACACAACACTATGGTGCAATTCAGGGGTTAGCAGCACTGGGACCCAACATGGTATGTGCCTCTGCTCTGTATGCCCTTGGCAATTCTGCTATCATTCAAAGATCGAAAGTAGGAAAAATATTGTGAAAGAGAAAAATCAATAAATGAACATTTTGTATTTATTCTATGTTGGAATAGAACCCTGTTATGCATGTAGTAAAATGTTGTCTTGCATGGTCTCAGGAAGAACTGATTAAATTTTTTTCGTAAAAGTAATATTGTTTGAGGTGCATGGAAGGAAAGGACTTGTTTAAGAGGAAAGATGGGAAGAGAAGTTAACATTGTATTTAGCTGATTTAACAGTTTCATTTGATCCTTTAAGCTTAACCTGTTTCTTATTAACTTTATTACTAACTGAAATTTTGAAATTGAGTAATTTAATCCTTACGGCTTTGACTTGTATAAAATTATGTTCAATAATATACTTTTGTTGGTTAAAATGATAATTTCCCTATGTAATATCTGTGCCAACTCAATCCCAAATAGGGTGGGTCAAACCAAAAACATGTAATGATTATATATGCTTATTGTCATCTCTATCATTATGTTCCCTGTTTCTTTAATGTTGGAAGAACGTGCTATTTCACTATAGATTCAATATTGTGAATTATATTGAGACCTTAGTTAAAGTTTTGATTTGAGGAACAAGAAAGGTGCTGCTTGCTTGATGTTTTTTCATATAATTATGAAGCTTGTAAGGAACAGTTTTTTTTTTCTCATTTAATCCATAAGCAATCTTGAAGACTAAATTGAATTGAAGTGGGATTGGAAACTTTAATGTTTATATGGCCAGTTTCAAAAAAGCCTTGCATGGATGTGATGTATACTATAGTTTGATTCCAGTCAGATTTGATGCTTACATCTGAGGCTTTGATATGTATTGAATGCATTATGCATCTCTTTAATTTGAAAACAGGTTCGCCTTCTTTTGCTGCCAAATCTTGAAACATATATGCGACTTCTTGAACCAGAGATGCTTCTTGAGAAGCAGAAAAATGAAATGAAAAGGCATGAAGCTTGGCGTGTTTATGGCGCCTTGCTGGTAAGATATGTTGCACATACTGATACTTGTTAGTAAAAGTAGGTGTTTTTACAGCTGGAAAACATCAATCTCAGTATGATATGGTTGTTCTGATAACTGTATGCAATACATTATTCAGCGTGCTGCAGGTCAGTGTATTTATGATCGACTAAAGATGTTCCCAACTTTTTCATCTCCTCCTCGTGTTGTCTGGAAGGCCAATGCTAAAGTTCTTACTTCAACACGTGAGTATTATAGTAGTTCATGAGATTGAAATGTCTTACGTATCATAATTTTATACCTGCTCGTGGGAGTGAGGATACTTTTTGCCAATTTAACGGAAAAAGAATTTCATGAAAACACACAAGAATTAGCATCTTACTGAATAATGGATGGAGCTTTTCAACCTGACATGATAGTTATATGACTGTAATTGCTTAACTAAATCATATAGCATAGAAATAAGCGTCTGTGTCATTTCAAATCAAAATAAGTGCACATATTGGTGATTATAATTAAAAGATAGAAATACAACTGTTAATTGAAATGTATTGTTTCATCAGGTAAATATTTATATTGCCTTTGGATTCTTCAACTCTAAATTTTCATGTGAGTTGTGAAAGCCGAAATGTCTGCATCATATGATAACAAATGCACTTAGAAGTACTCACCGTTTGAATGTCAGTCATTTTGTGTTTATTTTAGCCTTTTTTTCTGTTTATTTGGCCATAATTTACAGGTTTATCTTTAAACCTAACCTTTCTAAAATTTTTAATACTGATAAATTTATGTTTATGAAAGATTTTCTTTTTTTAAAAATTTACAAAATCTTTCCATTGAAAGTAACTGACACTTTGACCAGGAATATGCTGATGAACTAGTAATTGAGCTGGTATTCTAGTTTCTATGCTAGGATGTCATCTAAATAGCTGTTAAGTACAGGAGTGATTCTTTCAAATTTCCTCTGTTCAGGAAATCTTGCAGCAGTTACAAATTCTTTTATTTGTTTGTTAATTTCATAAGAAGTTCATAATATATTCGGAGTCACTGGATTTCCAATGGTTTTCTGTTATTAATCTATGTTATGATTATTTAAAAGAGTTTGCAGTGGTCCACCGAGACTTTAACAAGTCTGGTCTGTACTTTTGCCAAACCAGAGTTTCAATTATCAGCTTTGTACTCTTCCATTATTTGTTTGTATATACTGATTTCTTCACATGGTTGAATAACAAGATAAACGCAAGGCAAGCCTTGAGCAATTGGAACAGCAGCCACCTTTGAAGAAAACTGCTACTGATGGTGAGATTGGTGTGGTTCAAACAAATTCCTCACCAGTTCCTAAGCTAGAGGAGGCAGGGACTCAAGCTTCTACAGTTGATTCAATAGTTGGCTCTTCATCATCTTCTGGACAGATGAAAAATGAGACTACTTTAGATGGCGAAGTTAGAAGTAACAGGGGTGACACTCAGGCATTGAAGACATCTACTGCCCTTAACCAGGTTTGGAAGGAGGAGCTGAATTCGGGACGTGTCCTAGTTTCACTGTTTGAGCTGTTTGGTGAAGGCATTTTTTCCTTCATTCAGGCTCCTGAGATGTATACGTTCTTGTAACATGGGGATTATTTTAGTAATTTTGTTTCGATAGATCATGGATAACCCATAAATTATAATTTCAAGAACTAACTAAAATTATCTCTCGGTATAAAATATTTAATGATTTTTCGGGTGAATTAAATATCTGGTTCATGCGAACCTTATGTTGATGCTTTTGATGTTGGAGGATATTGCTTGTAGGATTTTGAGGGATGGAAGCCTAATGTTTGCGGACGATGTTAAATCCTTTGTTGCAGCGTAATCAGGAATTCAAGAAGTAATCAAAATTCTTATATATGAACTGGTTGTGGGGTCTGGGCAGTCATAATTTCAATCAATCTCTCATTCAATGTTTCCCTTTTTGACAGATGTAAAAAGTCAGATTACGATAGTTTAGTTCGTGCAGACATGGGGAATTTATAAATTTAAAAAAAAAAAACAATTTAAGATGCTTTACTGAAAACGGTAATAACAAGAAGCACGATATTAGATTGAAACACTCGCTGAACTTCGTTAGCCACAAGCTTGAGTAGTACTTAAGCAGCCACTTTATTGGACTCTCTTTCAACGGCTTTTTTCAGCATGCTGTCTTCTTCCAGGACCATCTGAACTGGCAAGAAACCCAATCCATCTGCCATGGCGAGCATAATCTGCTTGGTTTCCTTCTTGAACTCTTCCAGGTCAACCGTGCCATTCAAGTTGTGATCGAATTGTATGAACATGGATTCATAAACACGAGCAAGCTCATCTGGGTCTGGCTCCACATCAATGCCGAAGTGCTTTTCCAAAACTCTCAGGCTTTGGAGCTCTTTCAACATCTCTCCATAGGAGAGAAGGCCATCATTGTCTGTGTCAAGGTGGACAAACCGGTTACGTACTGAGATATTAAATGCTTCTTCATCCTGAAGGAAGTTAACAATGGTGGCACCATCCAAAATTTCTACACTCATCTTTCTATTTTACTAGAGGTCAAATGGAAGATATTTTTATGGACAAGGAGAGGCTTATGTGTTTGCAAATGCTAGTGCTTTGACGAAAAGAGTTGATTTCCTCCTAGTATATATAAGTCTCGGTAGTTCGTTCCAATAGCATATATTCTTTAATCACTTAGACACCAAAGATGAAATGGTATCGAAACCTTCTCTTGTTTTGTGTCCCTTGTTTAATTAGTGTGTTAGTCTGTTTATTCTTTGGTCAAACCGACTAAATAAGTTGGATGCTTCCATCAACTTTGGGCATCGATTGTAGGAATTATTCCTTGTCTGGATTCCAAAAATCCACTGATCTATGGTGGAAAATAATCAAGCATATAGGGGGGAGTTTGATTAGATAATAATATATCATCTGGGTGAAGTTTGTAAATCAAATGGCTTGGATCAATGGTAATGGGTAAGGAAACTATCGGGTCAGTGGCACATGCCCGTTGTAAGTCAGTGGGTCTGTGAAATTCCAATTGGCAAAATCTGCGTTGAAAGTCTAAAACCCTTTGAGGGTAGGTCAAATCAGTGAACAATTGCCTAGTTTTATTGGGGATGGTCTTTGGTTTAACGAACGAAGCACAATCTGAAAGCGTTAAAACAAGGATACCCACTGATTACTTTTAACACATTAAATAAGCTCAAGTTATGCTAAGCGGTTTGCATAAAGGATCTTCTTGGTTTATTCTCCTTTTATCTTTAATTCAGTGTACAACTTGTCCCTGATTAATACCAAAGCATATACATATCTGTTTTCTGAACTTCAGCATCAATTTTTAAAGAAAAATGCACAACCCACCTTTTAACTCCACACTTCAAAGCTATAATTTAATGTAGCACTTATTTATTCATTTTTTATTAAATAAAAAATTATTTATAAATCTGACTACAAAAAATCAAAACAAGCTAAAATATAATTATAAAAATCATTCTTATTTTTATAAGTTTGAATAACTTTCAAACATTTCTTAAACACTACTAGCAAAATTTTAAACTGAGATCTCTCTCCCGCAAAAAAAGAAGAATAAAAAACATAATTGCACCCTTTCTCGTGCTTATTTATCACTTAAATAAGTGAGTCATTGTTTTTCTAATACGAATCATCAAACTCATGTTAAAGTAGAATGTTGCTTACCAACTAACGTGATATTGGATTTTGCGAAATCACTGAGATGGATATTCAGGCAGAGTGACAATGTTATGACCTTTGTTTGTCCTCCGCTTATTTTTTTCTGCTGCAATGATGTAAGCTTTTCTTTATTTATTCCTCTGAATTTTTGCAATTGTTCTGCATTTGGATGTTGCCATATAATTTGAAACTTTATTTCTTACTTTCATTTGTTTAATCATTCGTATTGCTTTAGGCTTTTGTCATGTAACTGCCTTTGAGTTTTCCTGTCTCCAATTGTTTAGAACCATAGAGACAACCAATAATGTTTGAATTTCTACAGTGGATCACGGAAGTCACCATCTTCAAAAGTTTGCTAATCACGTGAAGCACAACCCCATCAAGTCAACCTTTCTTTTCTCTTTTTTCTTATTGTTTTCCTCTTTTGTTAATTGGGATTAGGGTTTTTTAATGTTAAAGTAACTAATTTGGGTGATTTTGTGATCGGTCTTAGTGGTGGGTTGGGCCGTTAGTAAGTTTATTTGTGATATCTTCTAATGTGAACTATTTTTTTTTGGCAAAAAGAAGACTTTTATTTTTGCTTCTGACCCACAAAAAAATACTTGTTTCATTGACCAAAATTTTGTTTCATTTTAACTTTGTTTTTATTTAATTTAATTCTCCAAGTTTAATTTAAGTTTACTTTAAATTTTATTGATTTAGAGGATGTTTTGGTGTGTTTTTAGTATAAAAATGAGTTCATAATGAAGATTATTAATGATAAAAATTATAAATATATGAAATTTAATAAAAACATATAGGTTGATAGTTATTGTTACATATTTATAAAAAAATTATAAATTTATTATCCGATAAACAAGTTGAAATTGAAGGAAAGTTGCCAAAAAAAGATTAAACATTTTTAATTTTAAAATGTGAGAGAGAATGAATAACATAAACCTAGTACCTTTCAATAGTCTTGCCTTCTCACTTATAAAATATTTATTTATCACATCTATGATTCTACATATTAAAATAAATTCATTTGCATTAATAGATTAAAATAGTCTCATTTAAATTAAGATAACTTAGAAGGGAACAAATGTGTAATTTTAGAATTAAAGAAAAGAACTAAACATATCACAATAAAACAGAATGTAATATACTTTTTTTTTTTTGCCATCTTTAGTTACGAGGATAAACAATAATATCACAGATGATGATTTTGACTCTCTCAAAAACTGGGTTGGCAAGAAAATAGAAATAGTCTGTGTTGATGAGGTTTGTTTCACACACACGCGTCAATCCATTTAGAAGAAATAGTCAGTAAATCAGAGAGCGTCACGTTATCAAAGAATAAATATTAAATATTAGAAATTAAATAATAAAAATAATAAATAAATACCTGAAAGCTTGTCTACGTAAACGTGTGAAAACCCTCGAGGTAGAGGGAGAAAATCCACGAATAATATAAGAATGAAATTGAAAAGCTTGAGTTGTGATTAATATTCATTTCCATGGTAATTTAGGGTTTTCTCATTTATGTTGGTAGTCAGAAAAAAAAAATTAAATCATGGGTTAAAGGATTTCATTTTCATTGGTCACATGATTTTAAAATATTTTCAGAAAACATTTTTTGGAGTATATAGTGCTTGCAATTGTCGAACAAGAAAACATTTGTATAGAAAAAATAAATAAATCTAGTAGAACAACAAAATGTTTCACTTACTTCAACACCAATAAAATTTGTGATGTTGTATGCTAATTTATTAAAAAAATAAGGAATGAAAGACTTTAGCAGATATCTTTAATGGGATGATTAATAAAATTCATTTTTCCAAACCCTGTTTACTTTTTCTTTTTTTGGTCAACAAAACCCTATATTTCAAGTGCATGAAATTATGAAGCATTTCATTGCATGACACAGACATGAGATCCAATGTATATAAAATAATTATTTACAATTGAAAAGGTCTAGCATAATAGATCCAACCCTATATAATTATTTTGTATCATATCAATCTTCAAGCAGCACTTTCGCTGTAACTCCACTGAGAATTGCTGAATTGGTAACAAAAAAGAAAAAAAGGGTTTAAAATGTGGATTTACAATTGCCACGTTGCTATGCAACACATTTTCATATTTATGTTTTGTCTTACACAAAGATTATCAGCTAAACAAAATTTTAAAATGAACCTATAAACCATTCAACATTATCTCATATTGCCTACATTTAATTCAAGATAAGGATTACAATCCACCGGTTCTGCATTGAAAATGACTGAAATGTTGAAGAAATTATATGTTTGTTAATGCCAAATTTCCTAGAAATTGTTATGCAAGACCTGCAACATATTCATGTATACTTGATTTATGAAACAAATATAATTGTGAGAGCTCAATTTATATTATGCTAGACCTTTTCAAATGTCCTCCAAACCAAAAGAAAGAAATTTATTTACTGATGATCTCTATTATCTCTCATCAGCGCACATTTCATTATTTTTATGTAAAAGATTTTATGTAAAAGATTTTGTCGGTTTTTATTTTTATTTTTGCTTAAGTTAAAATAAATCTAGATGTTCATTTTCTGTCACAATGGAAGGAAATCTAGATCCAATTAAATCAACAACTTATTGTCTTAAAACTTTTAAAATCGTATGTTAGTGGAATGTTACATTAAAATGATAGTAAATAAAAAAAATATAAAAGGAATTGTTATAAAATTAGTTGTATAAATAACTTTTTTTTATAGACTCTTAATGCTTTAAAAGTTATAGTAGACCTTTCTATATATATATATATATATATATATATATATATATATATATATATATATTAGAGCCACTAAAACTAAAACTCTCTTGAAATTTAAACTTAAAATTTTATTTAAAAGAAACCATATTTTAATATTTTATTCTTATAAGAATTGCAAACAATCTTAGAATATATCTGTATTTGTATTTGAAGTCCTTTCTAACCGTTTTTTTATTCTAAGATAAAATTTTTGCCCCCCTCAAATGGAAGAGGATAATTTCTCAAGCCATATTATAGATTATGCATAAATTTTGTATTTATTTATTTATTATTATTTTTATAGGATTTCATTTATTTTATTTATTAAGAGAAAATATTGTCATGTGAAATTTCGATGGTACGATAGATTTCCTACCATTAAAAAATAGATTCCCCTTCATAAATTGGTTTTAGGAAGAAGTACTGATCAAATCACAAAATAAATAAGACACCTAACCTTTTATTAATTTTAAAATCCAACTTTATGTACCAAAATTTAAATAAAAATTTAGATATATTTACTCTGGAGAATTAGTTTTAGTTAAATAATAGACTTGAGTGAATTGAGTTTTCATCTCTATCATTTTCAAAATTTCTATCAATATTAAATTAATTAAATAAAGACAAAATAAGACACAAATTATGTTACGTTCCATCTTTAAAATACTTGTTCAACACGTTAAATTTGATCTGTCTTTTTTTCTAAAAAATATTATTTCTTTCTATATGGATCCTTTATGCATAGTAAAAAAAATAAATTCAAATTATTGATCTAATTTTAAAAATTTAGATTTAATAATTTTAGAACTTAATTATGATTAGACTGTATCGTAAATCGTTCTTAAAAAGTATAAATGATTAGATTTCTTTAAGTAAGAAATGTCAGTAGCTTAAGTCAAAGTTTGTTTAAACATATTTTTGAATAAGTCTTGTTTTTTAGAACCAATTTTCTTTTTGTTCGGTCTGTTGTCATGTAGTGTAGAATTTGTTGCTATGCAAAATGGATTACGATTTTTACGTATTATTTTTGCACTTCATGTAGGCTATATAAGCATAATCTCATACTCTAATTAGGAAAGTAGTTGAATATTAGTCTTTGACATTACTCTAATTAGGAATACGGACGAAACTATTTTCATAAAAATGATTATAATGATATTATTTGTTTAAATAAATTTGTTTTTGTTTTTTTATTTAGAAAAGACCTCTCTCTCTCTCTCTCTCTCTCTTCTTTATGCAGCCGGCATAAGAAGCAAGAGTCTACGGGGTCAACTATCACGTGTTTCTTTCACCCTCGTTGCCTCGAAATTCATATGACAGTCTAACAAAGTTCATGTCTTGTCACTAGTTCTTAATCAATGGTGCATTCTAACATAGGCTTTGTTTAAATTGCAACGTGACACTGGGGTCGCATTGCAATTTGGGTCGCGACAGCTGCATTTGCAGAATATGCAGCTTCCATGGCGTGTTGAAGAGTCAAGAACTTGGTTAACACGTTCAGGTGCAGGCGCCTCATGCATGCGTCCAAGTTCAATACTACAAACAAACCCATAGCTCACGCTTAACTTTTTGGTATGTCCTTTTTATCACATATTAGAATTTGATTCGACCTCAAAATATTTAAACTAAAGTTAGATTAGATTAACTCTTTCAACGTCAATTTTTTTAATTCACAAAAATCGACATTTCTGAAAAAATATATCAGATATGCCTGGAATGAGAGCTTTAGACAGACCCCATTCTTTACGCTTGAGTTGACCCCAAAACTAGAAAACGTCAATTCATTTAGAAGAAATAGTCAGTAAATCAGAGAGCGTCACGTTATCAAAGAATAAATATTAAATATTAAATATTAGAAGTTAAATAGTAAAAATAATAAATAAATACGTGAAAGCTTGTCTACGTAAACGTGTGAAAACCCTCGAAGGAGGAGAAAATCCATGAATAATATATGAACGAAATTGAAAAGCTTGAGTTGTAATTAATATTCATTTCCATGGTAATTTAGGCTTTTCTCATTTATGTTGGTAGTCAGAAAAAAAATTAAATCATGGGTTAAAGGATTTCATTGGTCACATGATTTTAAAATATTTTCAGAAAACATTTTTTGGAGTATATAGTGCTTGCAATTGTCGAACAAGAAAACATTTGTATAGACAAAATAAATAAATCTAGTAGAACAACAAAATGTTTCACTTACTTCAACACCAATAAAATTTGTGATGTTGTATGCTAATTTATTAAAAAAATAAGGAATGAAAGACTTTAGCAGATATCTTTAATGGGATGATTAATAAAATTCATTTTTCCAAACCCTGTTTACTTTTTCTTTTTTTGGTCAACAAAACCCTATATTTCAAGTGCATGAAATTATGAAGCATTTCATTGCATGACACAGACATGAGATCCAATGTATATAAAATAATTATTTACAATTGAAAAGGTCTAGCATAATAGATCCAACCCTATATAATTATTTTGTATCATATCAATCTTCAAGCAGCATTTTCGCTGTAACTCCACTGAGAATTGCTGAATTGGTAACAAAAAAGAAAAAAGGGTTTAAAATGTGGATTTACAATTGCCACGTTGCTATGCAGCACATTTTCATATTTATGTTTTGTCTTACACAAAGAGTATCAGCTAAACAAAATTTTAAAATGAACCTATAAACCATTCAACATTATCTCATATTGCCTACATTTAATTCAAGATAAGGATTACAATCCACCGGTTCTACATTGAAAATGACTGAAATGTTGAAGAAATTATATGTTTGTTAATGCCAAATTTCCTAGAAATTGTTATGCAAGACCTGCAACATATTCATGTATACTTGATTTATAAAACAAATATAATTGTGAGAGCTCAATTTATATTATGCTAGACCTTTTCAAATGTTCTCCAAACCAAAAGAAAGAAATTTATTTACTGATGATCTCTATTAGCTCTCATCAGCGTACATTTCATTATTGCTGCTAGAATTACACTCATGGTGAAATATTAGAGTAATTAAAAAGAGTTTTATTTGATGGAAATTAAAAATAATAAAAAAATATTAAAAATATGTTTTTATTTATTGGTTAAAATTTATTAAAAATTATTAAAGTGTACATATGATTAGAATAATTTTTATAATTTTTAATAAATTTTAATTAATAATAAAAAAGAGTGCGTTTTAAAAGTATATACTATAAAGTATGTGGCTAATAAAAACAAATTTTCCTTGACAATTAAGATTCCATTAACTTTCATGAAACGTTTCATTCTCATTCTATATTCAAAACAAAGCCAATAAACAACCGTGTGAGCTTAAATTTATATTTTATCTCTCAATTATTATTATTTTTATGTGCAACCATTTCATAACTGAACATGAGTTTACCACTGTCGCTGGAGCTAATAGCTATACATTGATCAAATGACTGAAATGGGGAAAAAATAAATAAATAAAATCTATGCCTCTCTTGAGTCTTGAAAAGAAAATTCAGCAAAATTTCATGCATTCATATACTTTCATTAACTTACAAAACCACTACAACTGTGTGAACTTAAATTATTACTTCATCACACACAGAGTTCTCATCAGATCCAAAACAAATTGAACTCTTTTATGGCACTCTCACTCAACATCAAATTTGCACACACAACATAACTGAACAACTCCCACCATAATACAGAAGCTTTATTCATAGTATTACTAATCTAACATCAACCACAACCAGGAGTGACCAAAACTCAAAAAACAGCAACAACAACAACTATAGGATGTTCTTCTAGTCAATCCTTAACCAAGGCTTCAACAAGAGTAGCAATAGCAATTACAGGATTTCCAAAAATGGCTGAAAATATTAGCTGGAATACCAGAACAGCAATCTTTGTGTACTTCTTGATTGTACTTGACCTCCTTGAACTTCTTTCACTTTGGACTATCTCCTTGCTTCTCAGTGCAAGTTGAGAGTGCTCCGTTTCACTCATCCCATTGGAATTGGTTTCTTGAGATTGAGAAAAATAACCCTTCTTCCAATTCTCAAGAACCATTTCCTTGACACACGAAACATGATAACAAGTTCCCTCAGAAGATACATAAGACCACCCTTTAACTCCATCCACAACATTCCTATGCTTACACTTTGCACACTTTGAGGGAACCTCCTCACACAGCTCCAGTTTCACAAGCCCTTCTTCATCAGAAATACTAGCTTTCAGGTTTAAACAACATGGATGTAAATCCTTTCCCGTGCGGGTGCAATGGAACACAAACCCTAGCACATCTTTTCCGCAAGCATCGCAATATCTAGTGCGGTTTCCAGGTGCCGTTTCATAGAACTCAAAATCACTCCTTGGGAAAAATGGATGAGTGGCAAAGGATACACAATTTTTACAAACATCATGGAGGATATAACTGCAGTTTTTACAGCGGTAACTGGCTCCAAATCCTAGTTCACGGCATCCACTGCATCTGTATGGTGCTCCAGGAGAGTTATATTGCAATGATTGTGCATGGTTAGGACACTCCATCTTAGTTGTTTCTATAAATCTTGTATCTTCGTTGATGGTAAAAGGTTATCGATTATGTGTGAATTCTGTTGAAACAAAGAAAAGCAGCAAGAATATGTAATGGTTAAATAAAAATTTGGAAATTATTGAAAAAAACAAAATGTATCATCAAGCTATCACTAGATTACAGGAGAGTTAATAATACAGTTTAGAGACTAATGCAATGATGAAGAACAAACAAAATTCAAGTCAAAGATTGATGAGTAGATAAGAAAAAGAAAATCATGCACGAGAGTTGAGACCTTAGGTTCGTTCTATTTGACATGAAATACATACCAAAAAGGCAAAATCAAAGTTGTTATGACGATGCTTTTCTGGATCAAACGCTACTGGCTATTTATAGTAGGAAAACGTATATGGCTACATTTTCTAAATACCCTTATTTACTTGGAAAGTAAGATACGGTTTTTTATTTTATTTCTACGTGGAAAGTAAGACAATTAATATTATGTTTCCACTTCGTTGCTAAGAAATTAAGTGGGTCATTTATTATTTTGATAGAACAGCAAACGCGTAGTTAATTGTTAAATTGTTATTACTCTCGATAAGAACCATTATCGTATTATTTATAATATGATAATTTTTCTCTTAGTAAGTTTTTTAAGGTCAGTAATAATTTTTTTTATAAAAATTTCTCTGGCCAATATATGATAGCTACTTGTTGGTAGTTATAGAATATATATATCGACAAACTAGTAGTGGTTACAAATTTGGATTATAGAAATTAAATAATGGTTCTTATACAGCAAAATTTAAAACTTTGTCAAACGTAATATAAAACCATCCCATTGCGGAGATGAGTTGACTTAAAGATTGCATTTAACTTGTATATATATATTGGCGACGACAACTACAGTTGCAATTTCATGCATTCCATAAATACACATATATACATGCATGACGACGACGATTGGATGAAGATATTATACCTTTCTAAGAGTATAACAAATAATTTTATTATTTAAATTGTTGCTGTATATGACATTGTATATAATTATTTTATTTATTTATTTATTTATAATATTTTTTATATACAAATTAAAAAATATATCTTATAATACAAAGGACACTTAAAAATTTTCAATTTAAATGTCTAAATCATATTTTCCTACAACAAATGTATCATTAACCAATTGTTAATTTGGTTCCTTCTAGATGGTAATCCCAATTCATGGAAATTGTGATTCTAGATCATAACTCCTTGAAGTCGGTTATTTCCTTTATCTTCTGTAAATGCCAGCAAACGCGTAATCCAACTTATTATTTAAGTCCTTCAAAATAGTCATTTTCAAGTGTATTTTAGACGATAATTCCCTCTGATTTGTTTTGATCAGAGAGATAAAGGATGCTATCTTCATATTTATTCTAAAGTTCTTGAGATTAATTTTAAGCGTACAAGAAAAGTACAGTTAATATTTGTATTTTTAATGGTAAATTGTCGTTTTTATATTAAAAAAATTAGCTCTAAGAATTAATGTTAATAATTTTTTATATAAAATAAGTTTAATTACAAATTTAGTGTTTTTAATTTGTCTGTTTAATTTTGGCTTCTTTATCTTTTAGCTAATTAATTAAATATTTCTACTTTTAAAATTAAGTAAGTTTTCTCTTTTCATTGATTTTGTTCTACTCAAAATCTTTAAATTACTTTTTTGTACTTTAATATTTGAAAGTTTACCATAAATTTATGATGTGAAATAAATTTAATTGATATTAGAAGTAACAAATTTAGGGAAATTTTTGAAAATATTTGCTGGATTTTGTGTGATTAGGGTCTGAAGAAAAGTTTTTAACTTTTTATTTAGGGAAATTTTTATAAACTCTTACAAGATATACTTACTAAAAATATAAAACGCATGTTCTGATTATATGCATGCATTGTATAGGCTTTGGTTTTTTCTAATGAGATAAGATTGACTAATGTAAACCATTCGTGTCATGTTGGCTTCAAATATTCAATTCCTGAAAATATCTATGATTATTAAAAATTGGCTTAAATGGTTCAGAGTTCAAAGATCGTTAGAGGTCATTAACAAGTAATCTAACTAAGCAACCTTGTGATTTAAAGGCAAACTTATTGGTCTACTTTCTAAACTTCAAATCTATATATTATAAAAATTCTTTAATTTTTTAGTTCAATTTTTGTTATATTTTCTCCAAAGACTCAACTCAAATAAACAGACCCAAATATTTAGCCCAAATAACGAGGTCAATAACATTCGTTTCTATTTTTGGTTTTTGAGGTTTCATCAATGTTGATGTAATTTGGGCCGTTATTGGGCGCATTTTGGTGTTGTTGTTTGGTCCATGGATACACATAAAAAAAGAAACTTCAAAATATCTATAATATCGTGTGTGTGTGATGTTGGTGACTTGGATTTGAAGTTTGAAGAGAAGAGAAGAGAAGATGTCGGGTATGGGAGACGGGTACGTGGGTACCGCCCAAGATGCGGTTCGGATACGGCGGTTGGAGAAGCAGAGAGAAGCGGAGCGTCGCAAAATCCAAGAGCTCAAAACCAAATCCGCCTCCGCCAAGGGTCAACCCGGTCTCCTCCAATTCGGTTCCAGCACTTCTGAGGTTTATTCTCATCCCCTATTCACCATTTATCAATCCTAACCCTAACCCTAACCCTAACCCTAACCATATCCCTTCTCTTTCAGATTCTCGAGACTGCCTTCAAGAAGGAAACCGTCGGTCTCGTCACTCGAGAGCAGTATGTAGAAAAGGTATATCTCGTTTTAATCCCTATCCTCTCGTGTGTTTAATTTTTCTGTTTAATGGAATTTCAATGTGTATTGTATTGTAGAGGGTTAATATTCAGAGCAAAATAGAGGAGGAAGAGAAGGAGAAACTTCAGAAACAACAGCAAGAGTATGTTATTTTCTCTCCATTTACTTTTCTGTTTCCTCGTTTATGCTTTCATATTTTAAATTCATTTTCCCTCTCCTAACACAATCAGGGAGGAGGAGCTTCAGTTGGAGAAGCGTAAAAAGAGGAAGATAAAGGGAAATTCTCGATTGTCATTTGCTGAGGATATTGACAGCGATGCACAAGAAGAGGAACCCGAACCCCATCATGGTACCTTTTGCATTGCTGTTTCTATTCTTCACTTATCTGTGTAGTGGCATATGTTACCAAACCGTTTTAATAGAGAGTTTTGAATGTTCATTGATCAGTGATTTTTAGAAAACATCAAAGAGTATAACCTTGTTGTGTTTCTGTGTGGCAGATAATGCGGAAACGAATAGGCTGCGTCGTGGTAAGCTTGGTAAAGACCCTACTGTAGAAACTGGCTTTCTACCTGACAGGTATGCCATCTTCCTTTTCCTTGTCCCCTACTACCTCTCTACTTTCTTTATTGGTTGTTTCCCTAACGTTCGGGCATAGGAGTGCTGAGGATTCTGTTCAGTGAGCGAGAGGCTGAGGAGCAAGCTGAGCGTGAAAGGCTGCGTAAGCAGTGGCTCCGTGAGCAGGATCAAATTCGAAGTAAGTCTGGCTGGCTCACTCTTTTGTTATGTTAGTTTCTGCTGCTCTTTTTAACTTCCTTTAAAAACCAATGATAAAGGGTCAAAAAGTATAGCTTATATTTGGGAACAAGTTAGGCTTAATTACCTCTTGGGCATAGCTTATCTGATGCAAAAACACTAATAACCATATAAAACTTTATGCTTAACAAAGTTTTTGCTTGGCTTCAGATGAGCCTCTTGAAATCACATACAGCTACTGGGATGGGACCGGCCATAGGCGTGTGATCCAGGCAAGTAAATGTCAAATGGTTCAACTTTTACTTTTGAAGTTCCTAATTAATTGCACATTTATAATATAATATTATGTCTTGGTGTCTGAACTCGGAACCATTTTATAATATGATTCAGGTACGCAAGGGTGACTCCATAGGAGAGTTTCTTCGAGCAGTCCAACAGCAACTTGCTCCTGAATTCCGCGAGATTAGAACCACCTCAGTAGAAAATTTGTTATATGTGAAAGAAGACCTCATCATTCCTCATGTATGAACATTTAGTTGGTTATAATTTCAGCAAGTCTATATACAACCTGCTATGTTGTGCGTGTGTGTGTGTGCGCGCGCAAACAAAAGCATGCTCACACGCATACAAGTACAAAAGCTATGTTAACAATTTTTTAATAAAGGGTATCTGTCAACTAACTTATTTACTTGTTTCCATGTATGTTACAGCAACACAGCTTCTATGAGCTAATTGTGAACAAAGCTAGAGGCAAAAGTGGACCGGTATGCTTTTTATTTATGTATTTATTGTGTCAGAAGATGCATTTTTCATTGTGAATAATACAATTACTTTCTTATAGGAAACTTATATCAAATGAAAGCTGAGGCAATCTTGACCATGCAATTAAAATGGATGCCTTAGAGTTAGATTAGATTTAAGTTAAACAATCTTTACCATCAATTTATGATTGTGTAGTTATAGGATTAAGTCTCACGTCACATGCTTTTGCTAGATATTCAAAATTTTGTGGAGGCACACTAAAACATTGACAGAGAATGTGAGAGTACAAGTTGGTTTTTTTCCCTTGATAACTTCTGGTTTTGGCCAGTAATTTATATATAATAATGCTTTGATGTTACTGTGGTGTTTATATGTTTGCTGCCTCAAATTTACGTGTCAAATAAAGTAACTCAGTGATATATAAAATTTGTGTTGTCATAACCATGACGATTTTACGATCTCCAACCCCCTATCCGTGCTAGCTCGGTGCTAGAATCGTGATTTAGCAAGACTGAGTGGGATCGCTGTGCTAGAACTTAAAACCGTTAAGATTGGACGATCCCCTGTGTTTTCAAACCCAATTTTTAACCTAATGATCCGTGACCCCCATTTGCTTAAAACCCTAAAATTGATTTCGTTCTGTGATCCCTAAACCTTTCCTCTGATTTGCGACTTTGTTCTTATGTTCTGTGATTCCTATAGCTTTCGCTCCT